AGGTATCCAAAGGGAAGTAAATGTTACTTTATTTTTTCTTACAACAGATTTTCAAGACTTTCAGCATCCTGTATATAGCACCCTGCTATGCCCATAAAAAAATAAGGCAAACCTGGGATCCCTAACTCACTGCCTTATTCTAACTTTGGGATGACAGAAGAGACATTTTGAGAAAATATTCGGTGAAAACTTTGCTCACTGGAGTCAATATGAATTTTTTCCTGGGTTTCAGTCTGTCAGTATTTAATGTCAGTACTGGGCATTGATACTGACTTGAATAATTAATGGCTTTCAGTTTTATTTGTATTTGGCTAAGTCACAGGGACAGCAGAGTCATCTCAGAATTCTTATTAATCTTGTAACAGTCACATATTTTTCTTTAATTAAATTTAATTATATTTATACACTGGCAAGCACAGGGAAATGTGATGAAAGCAGGCTGTTCTATTAATATAACACTGGATTGCTTCCTCTACTAGGCAATTTTAATAGCCAGCAGTACAGTAGTGGTCACAGAAAGACATTTCAGACAGAGGCAGTGGAAGAACTATCTTTTCCAAAACATCATTATACATCTGAGCAGAAAATAATTATTCCTGTTACTTTGAGAAAATTCTATCAGAAAGATAAATGAAGCTTTATTTTGAAGTCTTATTCTAGTAGGTTAAATACATTGTGGTAGTTCTTCAAAGGAAATTGTCTTCGGCTCAGTTTTGCCACCAGTCTTCTAAGCTTTCCCCCAAATCTTCCAAATATCTCTGTTCTTATTTCTACTGCTCTCTCTGCTTCTTGTACCTCAAACCAATACATCATTTCATTGTATTTTGTTCAGCTCTTTTTAACTCTTTCTAATAAGGAAAAGGATAATGCTTCCCTAGAACAAAGGTAAAAGCAAGAATTATCTGGTATACACAGCCATTAAAATACTCTGAGAAATGTGCTGGGTGAAAACTAGCATAGCTATCTGCAGTGTTCTCCCTCTGCTTCTTGATCAATTCATCACCAACAACCTTCATACAGCTCTGTAAGACAAGATACCTTCTATCAAGAAGAAAATTACACCCCGTCTTCCTAAATTTTACTGCTGGCATACTTCCAGTCAGCAGCAGCAAAGTATGTTATCCAGCTCACCAAATATGCTGCATAAAAAGCTGTTTTCTTTCCGGAAAGACTGACCTTAGTAATGTGCTATCAAATCTTTTTGTACTATTTTCAGGAGTCCAAAGAATCTCTAGGGTTTGTTACTTTAGGTATTTGTCTATTTCTGAGACAAGCTTATGTCTTTTCTCCAGTGTTTTGAAACAGGAAGTAAGCTTCCTTATTCTTCACTCTCTGCTGAAGCTTTTCGTTGCAGAAATAAAACAGAAGTGGGTGGAAGAACTTTACCTCTAGCCACAGACTTCCTTAAAACAGCTTTGAGAGTTGTTACATTTGACATTGGGATGAAGGAGGAAGTGACTAGCAGACATTAAGATTTTAAGGCACTTCCTCATTCTGGTTTTCGTTTATGCCATTTCAAAATCTCAATTACCTCTTCTACGTAACAGGCAATTTTATTAGAAGAAGTGGCAGACATCTGCTGAATGAAAGCAGAAACCAATACAAACTGTGTCCTTCACTGGCCCTTACTCCACTACAAAAGGAACCTACTTCAGCACAGTACAAGTAGGATTTTTTTTTCCTAAACAGGGGCATATGGCTATAAAAGGGATTAGAAGACAGTTAATAAGTAAGTGCCTTCATAAACTTTGGACTACTAATTCAGTTGTTCATTGGCTGGGTTTGACTTTGAATACAAATTATAAGTTTCTTTATTTTTCAAAGATCATAGAACCACAGAATGGTTTGGGTTGGAAGGGCCCACAAAGATCACCTGGTTCCAACACACTTGACAGGGGAAGGAACACTTACTACTCCAGTGGGTTGCTCAGAGCCCCATCCAGTCTGGCTCTGAACACTTCCAAGGACACAGCCCTCGCAGCTATTCCAGGCAACCTGTTCCAGTCCCTCATCACTCTCACACTGAAGAATTTCTTTACATCCTACTTTGACATAAATCTTTGGCAGACTCAGAGCATGATGACTGGCATCATCAGATGCCTTCCAGAAATTGTACTGCAATAATCAGGAAAGTCTTAGTTTCTTCTCTTACATGATGACACCAGGGTTTCTTCACTAACCTCCCAAAGGCTGGCAGCTCAGCTGCATCACATTGTTTTAAACTTTGTTGGCCATGAAGGGCAGTTAATTTCAGACTAAAAAGTCAAAAGCTGCATAGTGAGCTATGTTTTAAGAAGGAACTTCCGTGTTTAAAACTGTCAATTAAACATATTAAGAGAGCATCTGCAATTACATGCTTCTACCATGTCAGTTGCTAGTTTTTCAGCTGTTTATGTATCACCTACAAATAATGCCTCCTGTATGTGTTTCATCATAGCATTTTTCATGTGTTTGCTTTGGTTTCAAAGGAATCAAGGCCTCTGTGATCATGCTGTGGGCATGCACAGGGAGGCATATGTCTGTTCTCCTAAGAAGTCTGAAGTTTTATCTAACTGACTGAATATATGGGCTTATTACAAGTTTATCAACTACCAAGCAGAGGGGAAACTGAGGGGAAAACCACACCAGAAAAGCAATCTCTATTACATAAAAATCCATGTATTTCCATACATGGAAGAGGATTAATTACTTTTAATATTATCAATGGTGGAAGAAACATCTATTAAAGTTTACAACTTACCAAGAAAAATATCTAACAAGAAAACTTAATCCAAAGCGAAGTAGATTTTACTGGTTTCATGCTCTCACAATTAATTGTTAATGTGGAAGCTGAAGAAGTTCCTTACCTTGCTTCTCTGGGCATCAGTATCAAGTAGTGTAAAGGACAGAAATAACCACTGCTACTGACTAAAAAGGCATTTGGTATTAAATAACTTCTAAGTGAGATATGAAAAAAGACTAAATTAGAAGCTATAATGATATATAATATATATATATATTCCATATATATATAAGAAGCTATAGTGATATATAAAATATATATATTCCATACCAAGAATTATTTTATCTTTTTCTTGCAGGATGCACCATATTCCATCATCTGTTTAAATTTCTACTGAAAACACAAGAACATTAAAATTCATCCAATTCTGGATTTTAATGTGGGAATTAGTCTAAGCAAATACACTAAGTTCTAAGAATAATGAATGTACTGCATGCAAAACTCCAATGTGAACTATTGTGGAGTAGTACTTCAGGATTTGCTGAAGTTCCTAAAAAACAGCTCTTCTCAAAGTGGATCTAAAAATTTATAGTAATAAGACGTTAAACCCCTCCTATTAATCCATGGCCATATTTTTTCTAGTATCAGTCTAAGTTCAAAAATCAGATTTTTTTTCCTGAGGTGTCTAACTAAGAATCCTACTGCACTGAAGTTATCTCAAGTCCAAAATGTGCTGGTTCATTTAAAATTTATTCTAAATCAGACACCTAGAGTTTTCTTTTCCTCTCTAAAAACATCATGGGTATGTAAGTATGACAAATCAAACCACTAGGATATTGCCTGCATGTAATTAATCAGCGTGACTTAGACTGGGTCAGCATCTGCCAGTTTTTAATTTAAAATGCTTTAGGAAATAACAGACGATTTCTTCATGTCAGATTTGCAAGCCTGCAACTAGCCAGCACCCCTAAACAACTCTTCTGTTTCCTGTGCCATTCAATACTGATCGTGAGCGGAACTGGTAAGCATTTCATGATCCTAAATTTTTTTACTAGAAATGCATAGTTTGTCAAAAAAGCATCTTTATTAATTGAAATCAGTTGTTTTTAATGAACTCCTAGTGAAACCCTGCAGAGGTAACACCAGAAAATGGCTTCCTGGGTTAACAAATAAAGCACCTCCAAGTCAAAGGACATCTAGCTTTCCTAGATTTGCTGATCCTAAGCCACCCTTCCACACAACAACATGGATGCAAAACAGCTGCTTGGAAATCTTCTTTGTTTGGGCTTCTCCCAGATTTCTCTTCTATAGGAAATTTCTACTTTTCCTTCTGGAATGGAATTCAGAAGCTTAGAGGATTGGGTGCAACAGAAATGCCAACCCACCATTCTTTTGCTAGTTTCAAGGATAAGCACTCAATATTTGGTTTACTTCGGACTCTACAGATCTGATGAGTGCTCATCTTCTGCTAACACTTCTGAAATTTTTTCTCTCTCCTGATAGCAACCTGCTGTTTACAAAGGAGGAGAGGTCAACAACAGAAGCACCCTCCCCAATACACTACAGTAAATGGAGTCAGGAGGGCCACCCCTCACTATATCTGATAACACAGCAGGGAATCACTCGGCAGCAGGAATACTACCAGCACAGAGGCTGCATGTCCACCCAAAGCCAGGTCCATACATACTCACTCGATCTGCTTCAATTGCCAGTTCAATTCAAACAGTCATAAATGCTCCTCTGACCTGATCAGAGCTTGAAAATAATCACATAGACCACAACTTTCCTTCATGCTTTTCTTTCCTGTATACGCAGCACATTTTTCTGACTCTGGGCCTTGACTCCTTACTTTCTTCCTTCTCAGCAGTTTTGCTTTGGGCTGAGACAGTACTTCACTTCAATCCCTCCATGATCACATCATGTACTGGTAATATCATCAGTACCTGCCTTGGGCCTGTATTCCCTGGCCACGTCTGTTTCAGATTTAAAGGTAGGTAATACAATTAATGGGACTTCACAGAAGGAAGATAGATTTACTCTTACAAGAAAGTGACCTTCGAATCAATTGTAAAACAACCCTAATTTGGCTCATATCAGGCAACGAAGAACCAAGAATCTGTTTACAGAAAGGGGGAAATACATTGATAGTTAAATAATGTAAATACATTGCATATTTCAGACTTGAAAGTCTTGCCATCTATTCATAATGGCACACACCTCAGTAACATAGGTAACAAATGAACAGAAGACTTTTGAAAGAACATGGGTTTTTACTCACCCTGATTTTTGATTCAATTCTCTGTCATTGCTGAGAAGAACCATTTCCTCCTTCATTTCTTGTTCTGTTGCTACATTATTCCCAAGCCTTTGTTGAGAATTTGCTTCCCATGTACTATCATCACCAACTACCTGCAACTCTGATGTTCCTGCAGTGCCCAGACTCACATTCTCAGCAGTCAGTCCATCTGAAGGAGAACAGCTTTCACGTTCAAAAGATTTCTCAAGGGGAGTTTCTACCTGAAATTCTGTCCAAGTGTCAAGAAACAATTCCTGTGCTACAGCAGATGCCAGTTCTTCAGCAGTATGTCCAGACTCTGATTTTCGCATCTCTGTCTTGTAAGAAATTTCTTCAGGTGATATGTCACTTACTTCATTTTGGCCCAATATAATCCAACCCTCATCTTGCCCACAGCTTTCCTGTGATTTCCTTTCACCATTCAGCTTCTGAGGCACAGCAGAAGAGTTTTTCTCTTCTAAGTGAACAGCATCCCATCCAGTCCCACAACCAAAGTGATCTTTGCTTTCATCTGAAATGGGGATTGGCGGAAAGGTATCCAAGGAGCCTGGTGAAAAGCCTTCATGGGATTCTTGAAATGCAAAATTAATTTTGCTTCTTTCAAGGGTATCATTCGTTGCAGATGTATTTTCTTCCTCAGTAACAAGGATGTAATCTACCTCCAGTGGCACTGGGAACACCTGCATCCTCGCATCTTTCTCACTCTCTGTACCTTCCAGATCAGGGCTCATAGGGGAATTTCTCAGCTTTTCCTCCCGACAAAGTAGGGAGTCAGTGCCAGCTGCTAAAAGAAGAGGCAAATAGAAACTCTTCTGAATTTTTTAATTACTGATTTAGTCACCATAACATGCTTCAATCAGTGCTGTGAGATAAAGCTCTTTTCAGTTTGCTTTTCTCTGTTAATGTGTACTTGAATTTTATAACATCATCATCATCATTATTGTTAAAGGTTATACATTAACATGGCAATCGTCCCCAAGGCACAAACAATTCAGTGTCCCATAGGTTAGGCCAGAAAAAACCTGAAAAAACAACAGAAATTATATTCCTACTTCACTGTTTAAAAGCTTTAGATCTGTCTGAGAGAGTGATGCTAGAGCTCTTTCCACAATACATATTCTGTACATTAGGGAGATACACAAACTTCACACTTCACTCAAAGCCTCCTCCTCATTAAGCAGAAATACGCCAGACACTTCCTCCTTCCTCCATCCTATATATTTACCGTGGAAAGCAGATTTTCTTACCATCACATGATCTTCTATCTCCACCTGGTGGTGAGTCGGGATCGGTTGTTTCTGCTTCAGATTTTCCTGTCAAAAAACCAGAGTCTAGTGGAGTTACTTCAGACATGGAGAGCAAAGGTACCGAGGTGAGATTTTCCTCAAGGCACTCTGTGGATGTTTCAGACACCTTATCTTCGGTCATTAGGATGCCCTCCACACCTTCCGGAGGGGCTGGCAGTGGCAATTGTTTTCCCAAAGTAATGCTGTCATAAAATGGCTGCTGTAACAAGAGCTCACCGTTTGCATCCTCTCTGCTGCCAGAGGGTTCAGCATAAAAAGATGCAGAGGATGGTGGAGTACACACTGCTGGTGATTGGTCATTGGGTATTTCCTTAAACACAGGAACATAATTTTCCATTACAGCTTCATATTCTTTTGTTGTGTCATCAAACAGTTGATTATTTGAATCAGATTCATCACCTTTATTACCACCAGGGAGAAAGGGTTTGGGAAACAGTGTCTGTTCATCCTTTGATTTCCTTTCTGCTGCCTCACTACTTTCATTGCCTAGCAGTGTCAGTATGTTCATTGCATCACATGTGCCTGCCGGGACATGAGTCACTGAGGTGTTGCTGATACTATGTTCTATCCCTGTGTCAGATCGGTCCACACATTCTTCTGACCTATCTGGCTCAACACCAGTTACTGCTGTATGGTCAGTATGAGAATATTTTACAAATTCACCCAAGGCACTAATTTCTTTTAAGCCTTGTTCTTCCCTATCAGGTTCATTGAAATCCATGGGAAGCAAATGCATTTGAGAGGTTGCTATTTGAGCTGCATCAGTTGGTGCTCCTTGGTGGTCTGCATGAGTGAAACTTTCATCGAACACGGCTTTCAGATCTAAGGATGTCACTTTTATAACTTCACTGGCAATTTCAGTTGACTCTACAGGGTCAAAAACCAGCTTATTTTCTAGACTGTATTCTTCCGGAATTGCAGATTCAGGAGGCTCCTGAGGATTAGAAGAGATAAGCTGATAGAATTCTTTGGTCATTACTGGTTCATAGTCCTGGGGGCCACTGTTTTCAGAGTGCATCTCCACCTTCTGCATTACTAGCTTACACTCTGAATCAAAATCTGCCTCTTTATTCATATTTGACTTCGTATGAATTGGCTGACTGTCTTTGTCTTCAGGCTCCACTGCAAGTATCTGAGAATATGGGATAGAGGCATGCTTAGCTCCATACTCCTGGCACACATCAGGACTGCCTGATGACTCTGAACCATTGTCTTGGTCACAGTGACTTAAAATATCAGGATTTTCACCATCTGATTTCAAAGTGACAGTCTGCTCAGCATTAGTCCATAGGTCAGGTTCCACTGAAAACTGCTGATTGCTTCCTTGTGTGTTATCCTGTAAAATATCTGGGATAAGTGCAGTTTGGGGAACTAATATGTTCCACTCTGGACTTGACTTTTCTGCCATTTCAAAAGATAAGTCTTCTACAGTGGAAGCACCTTGCATGGAGCTGTGCAGTTCTACTCTTTCACAGGTGCTGTCCTGTTGTCCTTGAGGAGTGAGATTTCCATTTCCCTCACTGTCTTTTGGTAGATCCAGTACAGTGCTTGCTTCAACCACTGCATTTGGTACAGGTTGTTCCTCACCTGAAAAAGAGTTCTGGGGAGTCAGCTGATTTTCCTCATCTGTAGAAAACAACTGCTCTATCAGCTCCCTTTCCTCTTTATCCAGTATGAAAGAATCAAGCTGTTTGAACTGTAAAGTGTCTTCATTTATCTGACCATCAGGACTATTGATAGAATGTACTAGTCTTATATTTTCTTTTTCATCGGAGTAGAGTGGGGCAGGTGGATTTTCATCATTACCTGTATCAGTGAAATGTGCTTCTGTCAGTTCTTCTTCTTGTGAACAAGAACCACAGGAGTCTTCTTTACTATCTCCTAACTGATTTGTTACAGAGTGACCTGAAACAGAATACTGATCTTCCAATTGCTTTTCTTCAGAAGTTTGTGAACTCCACCATTCTGAACTGTTATCTAGAAAATCAGATGTTCCTACTGTGGATTTTGGATTAGTTCTTGATTCAGCTTCCAGTGACATACTCCATGGATCAACAGCTTTTGAAGTATGCTTTTCTTTATCACCAGCAGCAGAAGTCAACGTAGGATCTTCATTCATTTGATACAAATATGAATCTTCTCCACCATCTGTTTTTTCATTGAAAATACTCACCTGAGTTCTTTCATCAAGTGTTTTACATTGGCCTGTAGCAGATTGAGTAGTCTTATTATGATCAATAAAGTCAATAGTCACATCCTCCTGCAATATCCTTCTGGCTTCAACTGTTTCAGAATTTTCACTGAAGATGCTTACCAGAACCTTCTCTCCTCCCACCTTAGTTTTTGCACCTAAATTGTCTTCATCAGCTTCAGGACTTGTTGAATTGGATTGAACATAATCCTCTCCATTTTCAGCTCCTTTGTGCTGTTTGTTTTCACACACTGAATCTTCATTAATCACTTCAGGACATGCTTCTGAATTCTCTGAATCCTCATTTATGTCAGGACTTGATAAAGAAGATACAGTGTCATCATCTACATGGGCATTCCAAAAATCTAAGCTTTTAGGAACTTTGTTCTCTTTGCCACTTGTTTCAAATCCTTCTTCATATTCATTCCCAATTTCCTGCATTTTAAAAGAATCTTCAAGATTTTTATTATTTTTTATCTCCCACATATCCCTGCTTCTTCCATGATGACTAGCAACTGGAAGGTCTCCCCAGACATTCACAGATGCATCACTTAAGTCAGGACTTGTTCCACTTGAGTGTGTATAATCATTTATTGAATTACTCCACACATTATCTTCTTCCAAATAGCTTTTGATCTGTGTATCTTTTGAAAGGCTGCTTGTGGTATTTGCTATTTCGAGGACTTCGCTTGCCTCAGGACTTGTTCCAGGAGATTGCATATCTTCACATGGCTGTGAATCCCAAGCAGTTTGCGGAAAACTGTCATTAAGCACTGCAAATGGCTCTCCACAAAGATTATTAGCAGGTTCTAAACTTTCAGGGTTTTCATTTCTCCCAGAACCTATTTCAAGTGAAAATGAATTTTCTACCACAGACATATGTGTAATATCAGGAACACTAACAAATCCAGAAGGATTTTTCTTAAACTCATCCATGAAAGAATTTTCATTGGTCCTCATCAGTTCTGAGCTATTTTTAAAAGATGCTAGCTCAGAGTTACAAATGTTTGGATGGTTAGGAGTGACTTCATGGAAGCATTCTTGCCCTTCTCCCAGAGGTTCTTGTTGTTTATCCATCAAAGGAATTGATGTTGCCTGGTCATAACCATTCTTTCCAGAGTCATTCCAGACGCCTGAGCTTCCAGGCATTTTAGAAGAATTATTTTCAGGATTATCACTACCCTTATCAGAACTTTCAAAAATACTTTCCATCTTAGGACTTGTTGCATCCTCTGTCACTGTAGCCTCTTCAGCTCCCTGAGAAAGCAGCTGTGACATTTCACTATAATTGTAATTTTGTTGTAAGGTGTCATCAAAAAATTTATAATCTCTGCCTCCTTCAGAAATACTTGGTGATTCTAAACTATCCTGCAAAATGCCTTTTCTCTCTTCCTGAATAACTGGATTGCTTTGATTGGAAAGTGACACATTCTCTGTGATTAATACTTCCAAACTAACAGAATTTCTCATTTTTTCTGGGGAGGTGGCAATTTCAGTTGGCTCATTTTCTTCCAAATCTGTTTTATCTGAAGATTCACTGCCCTCTTGCACTGGTTTATTACAAATGTCATTAATCATCTGCTGTCCACTTGTCACATGTGTTCTCTTACATTCTTTTCCTTCCTTAGAGATGACAGTGGTATTATCCCAGCCTTCCCCGTGACCCTGCTCACTCTGTAAACTCCATGAGTTCTGCTGGTGCACTGAATCCTGACTACCCAGCTCTTCATCAATATCAGCAGTGTTTTGTGCTGCATTCTTACTAAGTATCTCACTCCCTAAGTCACTTATATTCAGTTCCAAACCATTCTTATTTTCTGAAGTTGGCATAGAGGTGTTTGTGTCTTCTACAGGAACATTGCCCACTGTTTCTGCATTGTCATCTCCTCTCTGTCTCGTATTTAATTCATTCTGTGATGGTGATAAGTCATTCACTGTTTGATTATATGCCACTATTACTCTTCTGCTTTCAGATTCAGGAAAGTTATTTTCACTGGTACATGTTTCAGTTGAAAAACACAGATCAGATGTTTGTTCTGAATTAAGACAAGGTTTAGCAGAGGCAGAAGGAACTGGAATTCCAGAATTTCTTTCTTGTAACTGGGTGATGTTATTTAGGGGAGCGTCCCAGATATCTGTATTTCTAGTATTTGAAAAAGGCACATTGTTAGGAGATAATGGTTCCTTGCTTGATTTCTCAGGTACTTCTGACTCGGCCGAATTTGTCTTCCTGAATTGACCAGTCTCTTCATCAAAATCCTTGTCCTCATTTTCTCTGTCATCTTCCACATATGTAGGTGATAAGTATGAATCAGAGGTTGAATAATTGGTGTCTGGTGGAGAAACAACTAAATCTTCTGCTATATTTGAGGAACTAAGGTCTGAGTTTTTGTATAAGAAGGTATCCTCCCATGGCACCACTACTTCTGTTACTTCATTTCTGACGTTTTTATCATACATATTCCAGGTATCTATATTTTCAAATCCTTTTGGTCTGTGTTTAGGATCACCAAACACAGTTTTTTCCCCCGTGTTCAGCTTGGAGATATTTTGCATATTGTTGAAAACAAAATTTGTATTTTTAGATTTTTCATGGTCTTCTATTGAATAGTATCTTCCTTTATCCCACACTTCTGGATTTTCAGTCTCACTGTCCACTGTGATTTCTGAAGAATCTGATAAACCAGTTTTTGATATGGCCCATTCCTCAGGAATATTTACTGATTTTAGTTCTCTATCTAGTTTGGGCATATTCCATACATTTTCTGAGGATCTACCAGCATTTCCTTCATCAAACTCGGTCCAGATTTTGTAAGAGTCTCCAGCTAACTGGCTGCCTTTCTCTTCACCATGACACCATGCATCTGATATCATAGGTGCTGGCTGGCTGACCCTCCACAAGTCTGTAAAGCTCTCCACTTCTTGCTTTGTCTCATCTAAAGAAGCAGGTTGTAAACATGAATGTTCACTGTTTTTCTCTTGATTCTCATGGTTCCAATTATGTTGTTTGAACTCATTATCCCACAGACCTGCTTTCATATATTCCATTTGCTTTGACTGTTTTTGGAGGAACACAGAATCTGAGGCTCTTCTATCACTATGTTCTTGTAACAAGGGACTTTCTTTGGAATCTTTCCATAAAACAGGACTCTGAAAAACAGATTCCTGCTCGCTTGAACTCCATGCATCAGCATTTCTGGAATCTAGGTCAAAGCCATCCCACCAGCTCCCATATCTAATACGGGACTGACAGTAATTTGTGCCATCTATTTCATTAATTCTTTTTATGACATCTTGTGAGAAAATTAAAGGCTGCTCATTATCTAGTGGTGAGGTATCTACAAGACTATTCATAGGAGTTGGTGGAATTCTTGAATCAGCAGATTTCAACATTTCTGGTGAAGAAGAATCACCTTCAACTGAATCAATCAAACTTGAAGTTTTCTCACACATTCCTCCTGGATTCTCATCAAATTCAGCCAGATTGTCTTCCTCAATTTCAGTCGTAAGTAAGTCAGTTGAATACTTTACTGTATCATTTTCTAATAGGCTTGCCTTGTCAAGTTTTTTCTTCAGAGTGAGTTGATGCCCTTCTGATGAATCATTATTGAGAAAATAGTCATCTGCTGGGGAACAATCAACAGAACGAGAAGATGACTCAGATGGAGCTGTAACCATGGGTGCTAGATCAAAATTGAAAAGATCGAAGTTATCACTATTGTTTTCTGACTGAGACTTTTGTTCTTCAGCTATTGCTCCTTCAGGAATAGGGCTGTAGGAATCAAAGCCAGGCAGAAGACTGTGATGAGAAGCAGCACCTTCTGCAACAGGGCTATCATCACTAAGAAAAACAGAACTCTCCTTGGAAGATCGGCTGCTTCTAATGGTAGCCAAGCCACTGTCTGGACTCACAAGGTCTACATTAACATCAATGGGGGCTTGCATAGACCCATTTAGCTCTTGAGGATTGTCTATAAAATTGGCAGAACTGGGCTGTGGTTCTACATCAGAACCATATAACTCCACAATACCAGAAGATCCTTGTGAAAGTGGAGCACTTCCAGCAACAGCTTCAGTAGAGGAAGTTCTACTATTTGATACCATTTCTGGTTGCCTTCTATTTATAACTTCCTTAATTAGAAGAAAAATTTGATCACAGGTCACCAAAGAATTTTCTGGTTGATAAACGAGAATTTGGTCACATTCACATTCTAGAGGATCCAGCTCTAAACAAGGATTCTGACATTCTTCTAATTCACAGCAGATCTGTTGAAAAACGGGATATTTCAGAAGTCGCTGCAGTCATGGACATAAGGCACATATTGACTACTTCATAATTTAATACAGCCATACCTGTCTTTTTCTATTAACCTATTGCTTGGCCGTTTCACTGCAGCATCATTATTATGATCCCCAAATAGATTATGTATTACAACACAAGATCAAGAAGATAATATTTGTTGTATGATTGGTCAGAAATAATACCATTTGACTTTTATTATTTTATTATAGTTATTTATATTTATTTATAATTATTATATTTTATTTTTATTATATTATTTTAATATTTTATTATTTTATTAATTTATATTTTTATATTGTTAGTAATAGAAAATCCAAATAAATGTAGGGTTGTTTCCTTAAGAAATCTGAGTAAAATGTATGTAATAGTACTTTCGGAATGTATTTCTATAACAAGATAATTGTATTAGTAAAATAAATAAATGCATTTATACTGACGTTGAAAACAATGCAGGTACTTATCCACCTTTCCCCAAAATCACAAGTTTTCAAGACTGAGGAAAAGGTTTAAAAAGCTGCCACTGAGATAAATATCATCTGGAATATTCCATCTGGAGATAAATATAGTTTAAAAAAATGGCAAGCACCTAGCTCTGGACAAATGTACACAATAGTAATAATATGTTTTCAGAGCTTGAATTCTTTAGGAATATACATACATATATGTACATAATGAGTTCTGGTCATTACCATTGACAAGGTGTTTGCTTATCACTCATGGCCAAAGATGCATTCGTGTAAATCACAAGACAAACCCAAGTCAAAACTAGTGAGAAAAAGAACCCAAAACAGCATTTTAACTGAATTGAAAAATCTTGCCTCTTTCAGTATTTCTCATAAACTTTTCAACTTGGTCTGAAGCAATAATAAATATCATAATCTTTCATTCTCTTACCATGTAAATAATTCAGCCATTTCAAACAGCTGATCAGTTGCTGGTCAACTGTTGCTATGTTTTGACCTCACTTAATGAATCAACATCTTGATACAGACTACTTAAAAAAATCCCAACATTTTTTTCCAGGAAAAACATCTGACTCTTTTTCCAGGTACTTACTTGATTACCTAGCTCTACATTTTCCGAGTATACTGCTATTTGTTGTTTTGTTTTCTTTTCATCTGACAAGCTGTTGGCCAAAATGACAAGTACATCAAACCCATATTTATCTATGAATGCTTTCAGATCACCAATGAGACTTCTGTGTAATATGCAGTCCTGAAAAACATTAAGAAATTAAAATAAATGTCAGCAACTTTTCTGGTTCTTTTCATCCAAATATGTCATAAAAATAGCTGTAAATGTTAAAAAGCTTCAGCAAATCTAACAAGCAAAATAATTTCATTTCACTTGTCAAAACAACTATGTGCCTAATAAAAATCAAGAACCAGTCCCATAGCACAGTAATGGAAGAACACTAAAATACTAAATGCAGGTTTTGCCTTTTTGAATCTGCTGATGAAATTTAATTGTTACTTGTTCCAGCTACCTGCTTTTGCAACACTGCTTAAAAGCAGTCCAAGCTCTGGGCTAGTGTATCCCCATGATAAAGAAACTGGGCAAAGAGGGTAGGAGTCTTGCATGGATGAGCATGAAACTCCCTGTAAAACTCAAACTCAAGAATGAAATATATGCGATGCATATATTTCCACACAGAAGGACTCCAGGAACATTGAGTTACAGAGATACAACAAGGAAGGCCGAGGCCCACTTGGAACTGAGTCTGGCAAGGGATATCAAGGACAACAAGGAGGGCTTCTACAAATTTTTCAGCAGCAAAAGAAAGATTACGGAAAATGCAGGGCTGCTGCTGAATCAGATGAGTGTTCTGGTTATAGAAGACACAGAGAAGGTAGAATTACTGAAAGCTTTTTTTGCTCGTCTTTACTGCTGAAACCAGCCCTCATGAGTCCCAGACTTCAGAGGTAAGAGAGGAAGGCTGGAGAAAGAAAGGTTTCCCCTTGGCTGTCAAGGGTTGGGTTAGAAATCAGCTAGGCAAACTTAACACCATAAATCCATGGGATCTGACGGGATACACCCACAGCTCTCAGAGAACTGGCAGTTGTTGCTCTGCTGCCCTCTCATCTTTGAAAAATAATGGAGACAGGGAGAAGTGCCTCATGATTCAAGAAAGGCCAGTGTCACTCCTGTCTTCAAAAATGGCAAGGAGACCTAGGAAACTACCAGCCAACCAGCCTCACCTCAGTTCCTGGAAAGGTGATGAAACAGATCATTCTGGAGATCACCAAAAAGTATGTGGAAGTCAAGAAGGTCATCAGGAGTACTGGAGCAGTCAGGATGGATTTGCCGAAGGCAAATCAGGTTGGACCAATCTGAGATTTCTATGACAGCATGGCAGGACAAGGGGAGAGGAGTGGATGTTGTCTACCTGAGCTTCAGCAAGGGTTTTGATGTTGTCTCCCATAACATCCTCACAGGTAAGCTCAGGAAATGTGGGCTGAAGGAATGGACAGTGAGATGGATCAGGAAGTGGCTTAATGGCAGAGCTTCAGAGGGTCATGATCAATGCAGTAGAGTCCAGCAGGAGGCCTGCAGTCAGTGGTATTCCCAAGGGATCAGTACTGGGACCAATCTTACTCATCAGTGATCTGGAGGAAGGGAGGGATCAAATGCACCCTCGGCAGGTTTGCTGGTGACACTAAACTGGGGGCAGTGGCTGATCCACTCTGCTGCCATTCCCTGGGACCTTGATCAGCTGGAGGGTTGGACAGAGAGAAACCTAATGAGGCTCAACAAGGGCAAGTGTCAGGTCCTGCTCCTGGGGAGGAACAGCCCCAAGTGCCAGCACAGGCTGGGGCTGACCTCCTGCAGAGCAGCTCTGTGGAGAAGGACCTGGGACTCCTGGTGGATCACAAGTTGTCCATGAGCCATCAGTGCCCCTGTGGCCAGGAGGGCCAGTGGTATCCTGGGGTGCAGAGTGTGGCCAACAGGTCGAGGGAGGTGACTCTCCCCATCTACTCAGCCCCAGTGAGGCCACACCTGGAGTGCTGTGTCCAGTTCTGGGCTCCTCAGCACAAGAGAGACAAGGAGCTGCTGGAGAGGGTCCAGTGGAGAGCCACAAGGATGGTCAGGGGGCTGGAGCTTCTCTCTTGTGAGGAGAGACTCTGGGAGCTGGGCCTGTTTGGTCTGGGGAAGACTGAGAGGGGATCTTATCGATGCACAGAAACATCCCAAAGGTGGGTGTCGGGGGGATGGTGCCAGACTCTTTTCAGTGGTGCCCAGAAACAAGATGAAGAGCAGTGGCCATAAACTGAAACACAAGAAGCTCCACCTCTACAAGAGGCAGAATTTCTTTACACTGAGGGTGGCAGAGCACTGGGACAGCTGCCTGGGGAGGTTGTGGGCTCTCCCTCTCTGGAGACACTCAAAACCCCCTACACTGTGTCACCTGCTCTTGGTGACCCTGCCTTGTGATCTCCAGAGGTCCTTTCCAACCCTAAGACTTATGTAATTCTGTGATACTGGTCTATTGCTATTTCTTTATTAAATCACGTTTTTTTGTTAGAAAAAGAAAAATACTTTATGAAATTTGTCATGCCAATATTTCATCTAAAAAAATAGATGTTAAAATAATAGCACTGAGATGCAAAGTCCACAAGCTAACTTAATTTTCCAGCCCTTTATATGTGTCCATGATGATGTTACACTATTGTAACACACAATTACCACAGATTGTTCCTATAGATTCCCTTGTTCCCTTGAATTGTGCAAATCTTAAAAAAAACACACACACACACACACACACAGACACACACACAGACACAAGCAAGGACTGAGGCTAAGTATTTTTACACTCATTGTATCAAAAAAATTGCCTTTTTTCACACACACCCCACACCAAATACACAGGAGGTAAACATTTACATTTCCTATTCTCATTAATGCTTGGACTAGTCCAGTTCTGTAGAACTTAAAACATAAACCATACATCCACCCTTCTCAACTGGGAACATAATGCACAAAGTATAAATGTCTTTTTTCAGCCCTTACTTCTGATAACTACTGGTGAACACAGACTTAGAAATTTTATTTTCTCCTTTATGTTTCTGCTGTTTGTACTACAATAATTTTTTTCCATCTTCTAGCCAAGACTTCTTTTGATGCTGCCAAGCTACACTGGCCTTGAATAAACAGCAGTTCATCATGAACACAGCACAACTGTATGTGCAGACTGGCATGCTATTCCCCTGCACCTGTCTCCTACCTAATAAATTACTGTTTTGGTTACAAATACTAAATACTATTTATTAATCTACTCTAATGTGTCCACACAATGCATCTCCCTCCAAGTTAAAACAAAAAAATCTGTATGTCAAATGCTTTGGAAGTAGATTCCTTTCTGCAGCTAGTGATGAAATTTCCCTTTCATTTTTGCATAGCACCTAAAAATGAGGTTTATGTGAAATCCACACAGATCAATGCACAAACAATCAGCTGCCAGTTTCTCGGACACTCAGATGTGAAATCTGAATAGAGGGTTATGGTGAGGAATTATTCTGAATAAGCTTTGAGTGTCTAAACCAGTAAAATCTCCTGAAGACACAAGTATTGGATAGATTGGAAACATTTCCAAAATGTTCTTAAGCATGAAAAAGTCACCTAATTTATCCCATTCCTAACAGCAGCTGGAATAATTAAAATCTATTCAAATAAAAAAATCTGAACTGTAGCAGATTCAAAACCACCTGAAAATCTCTGGTAACTCACCTAAATACCTCTAAATTTTATTCTTTTAAACTCATACCAGCAACAAAATTCAGATACTCCCTTCACAAGCATTCAAACATGCAATTAAATAATGACAGTTGCAAACAAGTCTTAAAACCTACCAAAGAACATATATTGAAAGACATGATAGGTATATGGACTTTCCCACAAATCTGCTAACCTAAGTTAACAAGCAGAACATTGCAAATATTATAAATGCTTCAGGAAAAAAAAAAATTCTTCAGAAATGAAAAAATGCAAATAATTTCAACAGTTAAGCTGGTACATCCCAAATTAATTACAAGCATTTAAAATATGCCGTTGATGAATTAGTATAGCAGGAGATATACTGACATAGCTGAACAATGACAAAGGTCAGTTAACTGGACATTTTTTTACACTCCTTTTCTTTTACTAGCATGTGCTGGCTTAAGTATTAACCAATATTTAGAAAGTATACAGCAAGTAAACAGCATCTGTAAACATTGTTAGATTTTATAATGCACTCTAAGTAATTTAAAAACAAAAAAATTGTTTTAATACTTGAAATGAATGTACTTGAAATAAATAGAATCTAGTAATACATATATTTTGCATAGTTAACAGCAGTGTAACCACTGGAATAATTTAGTGTCATAACATATAGTAAAGCGGTTCTTTTGTCTGATGCATATAAGCAGCTTCTGCTGTAACACAGCAATATGATGGCAGAATGAAAAAGTCAAAGAAATCCAAAGAGTTTTGAAGGATTTTTGAATATGACCTGTTTAGTAATTATGTATTTTTTTTTGAGAAATACCATTTTATGCAAGTTGTGTACTGCTGGGAAATCTCTTTCTCTGAAATTCTATTTTCTTTCTTGATTCTCAAGAATCTCTTTTTAAGTTTAAGAGATAATGTAACTATAAACATGGATAATCCTTTAAAAGAGGCAAAATATCCAAGAAATATCTGAAGAGAATCTGTAACTTCTCTGTCTCTTACAACATTGATTCATGAAATCAACAGCCAATTACCCAAGTGATCACTGCAAGTGTACATTACACACACTTCTGAGTCTTCTAAGCTAACTGTGTCAATATTAACCTGACCAAATTAAGAACAAACTGTCTCTTTTGTTCTTCACACTTCTCACATGGGGAGCACAATATGGCTTTTGTCAGAGGTGCTCCATCATTTTGGCTCAAGGAAACTGTCAGTACAGTTTGGGATTCGTTATTCATGGGCAGATACCCTGATGGGTCTAATGAAGCCTTTCTGCTGACAACTCATTTGCTAAAAATACCCAACCGTCACAAAATATAAATGAAGAATAACGTATCCCATTACAATTTTCGCAACTGATGCAATTATCACAATACAGAAGTCATACATACTGCTACATACTGCATTCTCTTAATATTTCATAGTTGGTACTTTTGCATTCCAGTTTATTTCTATGTGATCACTGATAAAACTTTATGACATACTTAAATTGCAGTATAATAGGG